GCAGTGTCGCAACTCAATAAATAAAAATTAAATGAATTTTTGCAAAAATCACAATTAAAACGTATTTTCTGTTCCACTTTTCTATTATTCACGTGCAATTAATGTTGGCTATTTTAAATACAATATAGAAATTGTTTAGGTGCAAAGAGAACACTCAGCTTGCTGGATTATTCGAATTAACTATGACATATCCTTAGGACGCTCAACAGCTTTAAACTTAACATTTTTGCAAAATTAATTCATCAATTGTTCGACCGATCGTTACGAATACATAATGCTCTAACTACGAACCGATGGCATAGTTTCATTGAGTAGTGTTGTGTGGCTAGAGTAAATGTTAGGTATTGGCTCTACTTTTGTTGTCGACTTTCATTTGTGTCTGCGTGTGCTTATGAGGGTTGACTTAGCCGGTAACTGATGGAGCTATCTACTTTTCGGCATCGGGAATCTCGAAGTTCACGTCCATCTTCATTTCGCGGGCCAGCTTGACGATCTGCGCCAAGTGAACGGCCAGATCGGCAGCCTTGTCCAGATCGTTGCGAGCCAGAATCTTCAGTCCAGATGTGCGAATCAGCTCGCGGGCTTCCTCCACTTTGGTTCCCTACAAAATGATTGGTTTACTAGACTGATTTTAGATAACTTTATCACTTAACACTCACCTGAAGACGCACAACCACGGGCATGTTAAGATTCAGGTCCTTGGTGGCGGAAATGATACCCTCGGCAATGACATCGCAACGCATAATGCCACCGAAGATGTTAACCAGAATGCACAGCACCTTCGGGTCGAGGTGATGATCTTGAAGGCGGCCTTAACCGCCTCGGCAGTGGCGCCACCACCCACATCGAGGAAATTGGCGGGTTCGCCGCCGTACAACTTGATGATGTCCATGGTGGCCATGGCCAGACCAGCGCCGTTGACCATGCAGCCAATGGTACCATCCAGGGCAATGTATTCAGATTGTATTTGGCAGCCTCGACCTCCTTGGGATCCTCCTGGGTCCAGTCACGCAGCGCGAAAAGCTCCTTCTGCCGGAACTCGGCGTTGTCATCGAAACGCAGCTTGGCGTCCAATGCGAAGACTACAAAAGAGCATATGAAGTGATTAAATAAGGTTACAGCTTAGTCTTATTAAGTTTAATGAATGAGAGGGCTGAAACAGCTTGTTAGTAGATGACAAATACTTACAGCCTGTACAGAAACATGAAATCCAATATGACATTCACAAATGGGTTAAGATGTTAGGAGAAATGTGATGATACATTAGAATTAGACCACAAAAACACTAAAGGAAAAGAGATCTCCAAACTTACAGCCAGACATGGCATCCTCGGCGTACGGGTTGATCTCAACCAGGAGAGCATCCTTCTTGACGAACAGATCGTACAGGTTCAACAACATCTGAACGTGTGTGTCCTCACCCTCACCGCCCAGGCCAACTTTCTTCACGATCTTTTGGGCCTGCTCGGAGGTCAAACCAGTGCCAATATCGATGGGTTCGTACAGAATGGATTCGGGACTGCTGGCAGCGACCTCCTCAATATCAACGCCACCCTCCTTGGAGGCGATCAGGACGGGACCCTGGAAATCAATCGATTTTAGTACTTGAAAGGGTCAAATTTATGATTTTTCGACTTACGTTGAAGGCACGCTCCATCATCACGGCGAAATAGAACTCACGGCGGGGGAACTTCCTCTCGGCAACCATCACCTTGTTGCAGATGCGGCCAGCTGCTCCGGTTTGCTTGGTGACCAGAAGCTGGTTGATCATCTTGGAGGAGATCTCCTCGGCAGTCTGGGGGCTGTAGAAAAAATTTAAATATTTTCGCAGAGAGATTAATCATACACAATAACTTACTCGTAGACCACGCGGACACCTCCCTTAAGACCATTCTTAAAGGTTCCCTTGCCACGTCCTCCGGCCAAAACCTGAGCCTTCAGCACCAGGTTATCGGTCTTCAGCTTGGTGGCAATATCGTTGGCCTCCTTGCCGTTCTTGGCAACAGCGAAACTGCAAAAGAAATGAGTCATTTAGTATGGACAAGAATTTCTGGGTGCTCTCTTTTCGATACCCCAATGTGTATTGTTGATAAGAACAATACACGTGAGTTCCTTATCAGTAGACGTCAGAATTGTAAGCCATGAAGGCTGGGTTTTGAGACAAGGTTATTCGGTCGTTCGGAGATGAAAAATCTACCATCGTATGATTTTGCGTTGGTTTAAAAAGATTAATGCGTTGAATAGTTGTTCAAATCTTTTCACGGAAATATTTTGTTTATTTTCTACATGACGAAATATCGATAATTTTAAGTCTAAGACGGTTTATTTAAATGGAATTATATGTTTACTTCTATAAATACCATCAAACTGCCACTTCATTTGGTACTTTTCGGGTAAATTATTTTAATTTTATCTTTAGGATTAGATTATTGAAAATTGCGACTTATAGCGAACTTGTAGTATTATATTAATTTACACTTCCACTTCAACATCTTATCAAAGCCGACGTCACTGACCCTTGTCACTTTATGCCGATCAAAGTAAAGTATATAATTGTTATCACCCTTATCATCGGTGGCTGCGTTTCTATGGTTTGTTTACCCCAGCTAATTAATGCAAATTGTTAAGTTCAGACAAAGTCCGAAGCGAAAATAAACCAAAGAAACCGTCAACGCAACGACAACGCGGCACTTTCGTTGAACTTTGGACGGCAACTTTGCGGCTGATTGTTGGTTGTTTGATAATTCCGGTTGGTTTGGGTCTACTCACCGAGGAGTGGGGATTTTGCTCTCGTTAAGGAGACTGTAGGAAACGTGCTCCTGGACATTGAGGTTCCTCAGCTGCTGAACGGCGATGGGGGCCAGGCCGAGAATCTGAAAAACAAGGAGTTATAAAAGGGTTATTAGACGAACTGATATTCAAGAAAGGTAAAATTTAGGAAAATACATTTTTTTATAAAACAAATAGAATTTTATGGAAGATCTATAATAGTAAGCTCAATAATAAGTAAAAATATTTTTTAAATGTTGTATGTAATATGAAGTTTGCCAAATTGATAGGACTATCTATAAACGAAACCTTAATTCCAGTCACGAGGTCATTGTCAAGCAAAAACGTACATTTGAAAAAAAAACTGGTTCGCTGATTCATCTAAAAAAAACATAAACAAAAAGAGCAAGAGGCGAAATCTGGGTTAAGAGCAGGTATGTCTGGCTAATAGAGTTTTGCCGGTGATAACCGAAACTAATTCACAGATTAAGAATTTAATTAGAGGGCCGGCGGTACTAGAAAAAGCCCCAACAACAACAAACGATAAAGCAACAGTTGTCATCCGCTCATTGATAAAAAGAAAATTAAACAGGGGAATAAATAAGGCTTTCAAGGTCCCACACACACACCAAAGAAAACCGCAGAGTTGCGTCACACTGATACAATAAAAAATAATCAGGTGTCTTTTTGCGATCGTCACTCTCTTTGGATCCAAACATATAGCCCCTAAGCTTTCTCACTGGGGAATTATTTACTTAACAAATTAAAGGGAATTTAAATTAGCACTAACAGAGCAGTTTTTAGCGATAAACGATCAGCACTACGTATTTCCCATGTGCGAGCAGGACAGAGATGGAGATAAAGAGAGAGCGCCTCTCTTTTCGCCTTATTATGTAAAGCGATGGATTTTTGCATTTTTTTTTACAAAAATACGAGCTTTAATTGGTGTACTTACCTTTTTAACGGCAGCTGGCCTAACTGTTTCGATTAGGGGACCGCCCGTTCGTGCCAAGAATGAAGCCATTTTGTTCTGGAATCGAATAAAAACGTACCACTAATGAGTTGAAGGCGAATTTTGACGTAAAGCTGCTTACTTTTAAGACCTTTTTGCCGTCGCCTGCTGATGGAGGTGGTGAAACTTCGATAGCATTGATTTTTTCACTTTACACTCGATAGACCTAAAAATGTTACGAAGTCATCGCTTGGTTCGGAACTCCGGTTACCTAGCAATGGTTAAAACCCATTTGGCGGGAACTTTCAAACTTCTTTTTAGATTTAAGTTTTTAAAAAAGTTACTTGGCTAATTTTGTTTTCACATTAAAAACATATAAACCAAAATACTTATTATTTCACTTGTTTTATTATTTTTTCATTTTTTTTTGGATTTTACATTGCATCTTGTTATAGGACAAAAAAAACGTGATCACCATCAAAACATACAATTAACATACATTCAATACAATAAATAAGTTTATAAATAGTAGATAGCTATCTAGAAGAGTTTAGAATAGGGCAGTAATTTACTCAGTAATTCTACACTGTGCTACAAACAGACGTTTAGTGCGCACTTCCGGTGGCGTGTCTGCAGCAGAGTGTAAGCTTTTTATAAACTTTTTTTCAACGGAAACAGGAAGACGAAAATCGCGCAAATGCTTCACTTGAATTTGCTTGAGCACATTAATAATAAATCAGCCGCGGCGTTGATTCTGTGCAAGCGAATTTCCAAGTGAAGCAAGTGCATTTTCATTACAGCCAAAATCCAGCATGGCTCAAATGTATGTAGACCACACCCACTCCGCCCCTTTTTTTTAGGGGTGTGGTTGGTTTCTATACAGGAGCATGAAGCATTTTGGCCCACAAAAAATGTGGAACAAAAAACAGTTTATAACATTTGCAATGATTTGCATTTAAATTCCATTTTGCCTTGCAATCCGATTTAAATGTAGATTTCAAGGGAAAATGGCTTAGGAAAAGCGAAAAGTTTTCCACTGCATGCAATTATTTCGCATTCGATTTTTTACACAGCTTTTGGGACAGCAGCAAAAAGTGTGCAGAAAATCAATGGGGTGTGCAAAATAAATCACAGTCAGTCGAAAATAAGAAAGTTAAAATCTAACACAGAACACAAAACACACAATTTTATACAATTAGGGACTAAGACAAGTGCACGAACATAAACATATTAACAAAGACACTGGGGACATACATATAAAACATATTAAAACTAAGCGAATTCCGTAAAAACAGCGAGCCATCAGCGTAAATTGTAAAATCATCAAATATTTTCTCGGTTGGTTCCGGTGCCAGCCCAGTCTATATATCTCGGATGAGAGATCCAACTTCTTAATACTCCAGACTAGATTCAATAATTTGCAGAACGCGTTGTCGGCCGATTTTGTTCCAGAACAGATATGGTTCCCTGGAACCGGTGACTTGGCGTGGTGAGCTGTTAAAATAGATTTAAATTATTATTACAAGTTATTATTAAGATATTCAAAAATCTTACTGTTGAAAACAATCGAATCGCACGATACCCCTTTCGTTGATCAGACAGGAGTGTATGTCAACGACCTTGAGGTGTCTGCCCTCGCTCCGGATGAACTTGTTGAATCGGTTGACCTTGTCACACAACTCCTTATCGTGGCAATAGTTCGCCAGCGGTGCCAGATTTGTGAGAATGGGCACAAATCGTTGATTGTGCATCTCCTTGATCAGCAACCGAAAATCATGTTCGATCTGAACCAAAGGTCTTCCACGCAGTATATCCACCGATCCGACATTGACTATGATCTGGGTGCCCTCGGGAAGATTAAATTTCTTCAACCGCATTCGGGCCCCATTGATCGTCTGTCCGGATACGCAAAGTCCCGACTGCAGGACTCGCTCGTAGCGCCTGAATCGGCACTTGAGCTCCATGCGGGCGAGATATAACATAAAATCATCGCCCATCAGCGGAAAGTCCAGTAGAAACGCATCGTAGTCCGAATTGATCGTCAGCATCGAATCGTTGTAGGTCCCACTCGATAGAGTCGTGGGTGTGGGCGTCATATCTTGGCGTCTCTTCAGTACGTTCATATCGTTGAACGGCTGCACAAAGATTCCCAGATGGTGATTTACGTCCGGTTTGGTATTCTGATTCTGGTTGTGGTTATTGCAGTGTGGGTGATGGTCGGGAACATTCAAATGGGTTGGTTCCTCGGTAGCATCGCTGTAGATGTTGATGGGCACCGGCATCTGTTTCTGTGGTTCAATTACGCTGGATCGCTGGTAAAAGTTGTTGCTACGGATTCAGGTAAAACTGTTACATAAAGAAAATATTGTCTAAGGTACAACATATTATATTACTATGAATATATTTAGTAACAAAATTATTCCTAAATAAATAGTTTTATAGATATAGAATAACACGATAAAAATTCAAATTTTAATTTTATTAAGTAAGATGTTTAATTTTTTAGACTGTGGTTCACCTATGCTGACTGTAGAATGTAATAAATTGTATTCAATTAAAAAAAAATTTAATTAATGGTTTAAACTTTGTAGACTTAAGATTTTATATGAATATCTTTAGAAAAGTATAGTAGTATCATTATAAATATTATTTTTACTCACAGATGATTCCAATTATCCTGGTAGCACCAGTTCGACTCCGCTGCCTCCTTGGCCAGTTGCTGCAGTGGAGCCGCCCTGGTGTTGATCGCCTTGGTCTGATCATCCGTCAGTTTGTGCTCGGTATTCAGGTTGTTGTCCAGCTGGGAAAGAGCCCGCCGTTTGTAGGGATTCTTCCAGTACGTGGAGGTGCACGTGGTTTGTCCTCCACAGAAGGAGCTCCGCTGCTGTAGTCGCTGGTGCGCTGCTTCTGGTTGAGAACCATTTCCAGCAGGTGGCGGTTCTTCAGGCTTGCCTTCAGGTTGAAGATCCGCTTGCCGGACTCGCTGCACTCGGCGGTCACGTTGGGAATGGTCAGCAGGAAGTCCGTGATGTTGTCGTGCAGTGGAAAGGGGTTGCCCGTCTGTTTGCGATATTCACCTGAAATATTACAATTATATAATTATTTTAGGAATCCATAGGAGGTACCAGGAAATAAATATATGGGTTAAAATAATATACAAAAAGTATTATAAAGTACATCATAGTCTTAACAATATTGGAAGTTAACTTTTTTATTGTATGATTTTTTTAAAATTTTTAATCGGATATTCAGTGAACTTTTCATTACCACATTTAAAGCACGTGTTTTCTTAAAAATTAGCTTGCACAACTTAGGAACACATTATAATAAACACTTAAACATTTTTTTTTTAATTTTTGGACAAGTTTTCGAAAGTCTTTATAAAACTGTTTTAAGAAAAGGGGATGGTATAACATTCTATTTGATCCAACCTCTTGGTAAGTTTTATTCCAAGAAAGTAAGCTTTAAAGTAATGTTAGAAAATGGAAAGCTACTCACTCTTGATGTTCGATATCGTGATTCCATTCTGGGCGTGGCTCAGCAATATGGCGCGAATCTCCTTATCGATATCGGGATGTTCCTCGCGCACTGTTATATAGTTGCTCTCGATAATGGTCATGTTGCTGCTGCAGCTCTGGCTTTTCTTACTACTATAGCTATATCTGTGGTTGTTGTATGTGATTTCCTTGGTGGAAATCAGAGTTGATGAGAAAAGTCTGGCTACAATTTGCAATTGCTGGCTGCTCTGCCCAGTGACGTCATGGGTTAAAGGCACTTTCCACAACTCCGGCGATTCGGTTTTTCGCGCCGATTTAAAGATCTTCTGAAACCTCTCGCCAAAGGCGGAAAAATCGGCCTTCACGAAGATCTTGTAAAAACGGCTGGTAGAACTCTTGCGAAAAGATCCGGATGCCGGGAGTTTTTCGCGCAACTGCTGCAGGCACGTGGTCACACGTTTTTTCACGGACCTCAGGCGATCGGAATTGGTGGGAGTATTGGTGTTCTTATAACTGATCGGTTCGCTTGGGAATTCACTTCTAACTGCGGCCATCGCTCGAACGAAAGTGAGACCATCCAATCTTTTTGGATCCCATTCCTTTCCATTCATTTCGATTTGGAGACTTACGGGTCTATTCGTACTGGAAGAAGAATGAGCAGGTGGAAAGGTAATAACGGTTATCAGTTAGTAGATCAATAGAAATGATAAAAAGGGTAGTTCACTCTAAGCAAAGGTTAATAAATAACCACATACAACTTTATTTTGTAAAATACATACCTTCTAAGGATCCCAGTTTTAGATCACCTTAATCTTAATATATTCAAGTACAATATTATTGACAAGCGTTAATAAAAATAAATAAATTAAACGATTTATGTATATGTTCATTAACATCTCATCTCTTTTTTTATCAAGGTGTGCCTATTTGGCCAACATTCAAAGCGGGTTACCGAGCCACCAAAAACAATTAAACTGAATTACCACCTGCAGAACCATTTGACGACCATTACTCAAAGCAGTTTGCACTGCGTTCCAGCTGGACATTCAGCTTTTAATGGCCTTTCTCTTGGTCCAGATTAGAAAACAGCATGCCAGTTGGTCTGCAGTGCTTGATAAGTAATTACGGAATAATAAAAATTCCACAGTAACTCAAATGGTGCCGACGAGCGTTACCACGTGCGGTGGGTCTGCTAATCGGCAAATGGAGCTGGTTCACAGCAATTCCCCAAGATGATTATCCAGCAAGTGCAACTGAAACTCCGAGGAAGGTAATGTAATAACTTCGTCTGAGGGTTAGTCCAAGACCAGCCATTGATGGATGACTCAGGGCCCTTCTTACAGCTCGGGCTGATTTTTGCGCCCCGGAAGAACGACAGACAATCGGAAGGAGGCTTATGACCTCTTAATTTTAGCAACTTTATACAGTCCAGCCTCAGTAACTCGTACCAACAGTAACTGATATGTATATAAATTATCTTTCTAAGTTCTCAGATCCTAAAGTTTTGCATAGTGTAGTACATCGTAAGTTCCACAGTTACATAACTATAATTCACGGAAGTACTTAGTTATAGACGTTGGACTGTACTTTATTCCCCCACCCTTCCTTAATTACAGAGGAAGCTGCAGAGACGTGACGAGCAATACAAAATAGGAACACTGGGCAAGAACATGTGGTCCAATTGATAAAACGCCTCCATTCCACATTTTCTGTTTGCTGGAAGTGTAATCCCAATAAGTTAGACTGGGGTGAATCAGCCAGATTTTTGTGCCATTCAATTTTCCCTTTGGGTGGTGTTTCATACATATATTTCAGGGCACTCACAGCTCAGAACAATTGTCCGGTAATAATAGTAATTTGCATTCCAGGCTTTCCACAAACATTCGCACAAATCAACTCTTTTTTCTCTCTACACCCACCTTAAAACTACAGTGGGTACTCAGTTGTCAGATACCAGTCTATACACACTTTAAAGTATTTGTATTAAAGATTTTTTATTGATTTACATGGGTACTCTAGGTTAAGAGCCTTATAAAATGTAAAAAGTGTATTAGTATCCTGTCATATTTTTCCTTCTTCACAACTACTATGTCCACCATTAGGCTCCTAACTTTTTTTCCTCATTGAAGACCTTCTTTGATTGACAACTTTTGCTTTGGAGCTGTGGGAGTGCATTTGAAATCGTAAAAAGCAATTTACCGCCTAGATTTGTAACCGACACTTTTCATTGGGTTCGACTGCATTTTTGCATAAATTATGGAAGCCGACCGAGCAACTTGTTGTTATTCTTTCTGATAGTTTAGAATTTTTCACCAGCAGCGAGGTTATTTCGCAGAGGGCGGCTTAAAGTTGGGGGATAGGCAAATTATTGTAATCAATTTATGCGAACAATTTAGCTATTGCCTCACTTGGGGGCGGAGACACCTGTTAATCTGCTGACAGGCGGAAAATCTCAGGAATGTTGAACAGGAATTCAAAGATTGCAGGAAACCAGAAGTTCACCCCATTGCAATCCGATCACCGTTCGGCGCTCCATCACTAATTCCTTTAATTATCCTTATCCGTTTCCAGGGTCTGGCTTAACATCTGTTATTATTATTCCGATGCAGTCATCGATTGGCCTGCAAAGGGGCCTTAATCAGGACGCCGCAATTCAAACACACGTAATTAGAGCCCCCTGTAATTGTGGGGATGTGGAATACAGAGGGGAAAACTATTAAAGAAAGTACAACCATTCCTAAATGTTTTAAGACTAGGTCCTAAATTATGTGTAAAAGAAGGAATTAAATCCAAAACTTAAATACACACATTATTTCGCAACATTACAGCTGAAATTCTTGGTTTCAGATGGATTTTGGATCAGTGTAGGCCTCCTTTTTGATCACCGGTTACAAGTTGGTCAACAGATTGTAAAATGGCAAAACACTCGAGATAAACGGCTAAGCATGTGGCTGAGTGTGTGGCCGGTTGGCAATTAATCAAGGCTAGGTGTCGCAGACCGTAAGACTGCTTCCGATTCCGGTTTTTGAACCCCGTGAGTCCTCATTATGCCCACACAATATGGTAATTCGAAGACGTCTTGACTGAAGGCTCCCAGTGGGTTGCTGTTTATTTTTAAGAATAATAAATCCCTGCAAAAGATATTTTGTTTGCCGGTAAGTGTTAGTAAAAAGTTTTTAAAGATATTTAGTTAGGGGATACTATAGTTTTTGAACAAGTAGTATTTAAAGCTTACAATTTTAAACTCTTATATTCTTAGTACTCGTAATTGGTATTTTATATTTTCTTATGAATTCAAACCTCTAAATATTAAAAAATTCTCCATACATACTGAATTTTTTAACTTTTTTTTAAATTGGTTTCAAAAGATGGAAATATAGATATTTAACGCTTACGTTTTTTTACGTGATATTTGAGCAAAGACAAAAACAAAAGCAATTGTTATGGCAAAGTCAAAAGTGAGAGAGCTCCAATGTAAACACAATTACTTTTTGTTTGATTTTGTTTCACACTCGCCTCCTCACCAACACACTCACATACATCTGCCCATTGCAGCTGCAGTGAAAACGCATTAACAATCAAACGCAATTACACTTTCTCGCTCTTTCCTCTCATTTACTCTCTCGTGAAAACCGGTTTTCCCTTATTCTCTCGCTCAAAGTCACTCAAATAAGGAACTTCACTTAATCGACTGAAAGACACCGTGTAAAAATATGTTGGTAAAAATCTATATAAATATTAGAATAAAAAGATGTATTGTTGAAAAACACTGCCAAATCCAAAAGGTGTTAAAACTAAATATTGTGGACTAATCGTGCAAAATAAATAAAATTTTGGTTTTATCTGGTAAAATAATATTTAAACAAAGCTTTTATGTAAATGCATTTTAATTAAATTATTTAAGTGTCGTATTATTAATTAATTTACATTATATTTATGGCTAGCTAGCAACATCAAACTCTTCGAAAACAGGGTACTATGAGACCACTTCGAGAGAGAGCGAATGAGCGAGAAACGTCTGAGTCGTGGTCTTAAAATCTATATAAGCAACTCGCAACTTTATCCACTCCGTAATTTTTTTCAAGCGCCGAGCCGCGCGGTATTGAAAGCCGTCGAATTGCCATATGTGTTTTTAAAATATCAACAAAAAATGCGAATTAGATAGTGCCGGTAAAAATATAAATATTTGATCTCGAAAATATATATTATTTTTGACCATCCCTCGAATTTACGATTTTATTCCGAGCGGTTAAGCGGCGTATACAAAAACGAACACGAAAATAAATGGCGCGTTTTTAAATGTTCTCTGTAAAAGGATAAGAAATCTAATTTCTTAAACATAAAGTGAAATGAAAAACAAACCTGGCATTAAAGTTAACAACAATGTGTTTAAATAAAATACATAAATAAATAAATATTTAAAATTTAAACAAAGCAAAATCTATTTAATAATCATCAAACGATAGTAATATACAAACAACAAAAAGCGAAAACAAAAATCTTATTTTAAATAAAACAAACCAATAAAGTGTAAACCACAAAGGCAAATATTCAACCCTGTTATCCTAAATATAATTCAATAAAATATTCCCATAATAAAATATAAAAAAATTCTTAAATAAATAATATACATAAATATTCATACAAATTCAGTAAATCTCATAAGAAAATGCCGGAGAATTGGCAGAGTGATTTGTTTGTGTAGCTGGAGAGTGCAATAAATAACAGTAAGAAATAACAGTAAACAACGGAAGAAGCCAAGATGACGCGCGAGGAAGAGGAAGAGGTGCGCTCTCTGCTCTCCCGTCACCAGGAGCGCATAATGCTGGATCTGGGGAGTACCGATCTGCTGGCGGTACTGGTCAAAAACTCGGTGCTCAGCCAGTCCGAAGAGGATCTACTGTTGAAACCTACAATGCAGTTACTCCCACGCCCTCGGCCGCCGCCTCTGCCACAGTGGAGCCTCCCGGCAGTGCACCCTCGCTGACCAAGCGAAAGCTAAGTGCCGTCGCAAGCAGTGGCAGTACGGCCAGCGGGGGAGTGGGGGCAGCGGGGGCAGTGGATCCTCCCGATGCGCCAGTGTTAATGGAGACGCCAACTGCGACAGTCGCTCACTAACGCCCTCTGGCGGGGGTCTGTGTTCCGGCCTAAACGACGCCGAAATCCTACGACTCCAGTGCTCAAATCTCATCGAGATCATCGCCAAGAACGGATTCGAGAAGTTCAAGCAGTTCTGCTACGCCATCGAGTGCGAGTGTCCGCAGCTCATCGAGGATCTAATTAACGATCGTCTCAAGACCGGTAAGTACTCCTTTTCCTCGGGTACACGGTGCAAAAACACCACCAGTTGGTTTCTTTTGTACCCAAAAATCTATAGGAAACTAAATTATAGTCTTCTAATAGAAATGTATATGATTTGCTAAAATATTACGAGTTTCTATGCCATGTCTGATATGATATGATATCACATTATTATGTTTTTACCGTGTAGAATCCACCTTTCGATTAAAAAACACAAAAACACCCTCTGTTAACCGGTTCTGTATATCTACCTGATCCCACAATGCGTTGGCAGCTTTAGTAGCCCATATCTCACTGTAAATTATTCACGTAATTGTTCGCGATCGGTTCTCGAATTTCTCATCTCTGCTAATTGGTTTCGCTGTACGGTGAGCACTCGTTAGTTCGATGTGTTTCGCCTTTGCTAAGAAATTTAACAAGACACCGATTGGTAAAATGATTACCAATTTGGAGCGATCACTGTTTAATTCTTTGGGTTTCTTTTTGTCGCCTTTGCTCTTTTACACTTAGCTACGTGGGAGTTGCTTTTGAAGGTGGGCGAGTGGGCGGGCCATCAGCCATTTACAGTGGCGCGTTAATAATTATTGACATTATTTGAGATTATTGTGCTGATTATGGAGACTTAGCAGTTATGCAAATTCGTTTTATGAGATTTCAGGTGCCATTTCAAACGCGTTTTTAACGATATCGCACCTTATAAATAATCTCTACTTGAAAAGAACTACATTTTTTTCAGGAAAAACTCTTATCGAAAGTGAGACGGTTAGGGATTGGTTAGAAATTCAAATAAAAGAAGGAATACAAAAAAGAATTACCACAAGATGAGCAGTCCAAGGAGTTTCTTTTTTGTGTCTTACTGATAAGAACACTTTTGTTTGTTTTTCTTCAAAAAATTATGTGGTGATTCAAAATCAAGTACTACCAAGGCAGTCAGGGCAGTAGATAAACTACCCTTATCATTCACTTGGATTTAATGAACCCAATCGCTCTTAACATTGAAGCCGATTAAAATATATTTTCTATCTATTGTATAATACAATAATGTGCATTCCATTCAACTTTAATGAGCACGTACACGCTTAAAACTTTTTTGAAAGATCATTTAAAAACAAAAATAGAAAGATATATAATATCTAGCATCCAATGCAATGTAAAGGTCAATGATTCATTGGATTGACTATGATACGTTTTTAACTAATAATACAGCGAAATTATATATTTTCTATTCATGAAGAATGAATGTTCTACGAATAAATTAAAATATTTTTTTCGGTTAACTGAATTGCTTTGAGCTTATACCTAGAACATCTTGGCAATATCCACTTCCATTTCTCTTACTCAAATAAACTTCCTCCAAACGATCCGTCAAAAGTTCGCACAGATGTTGCGGATCCACGCGCTGATTCATTGACCCACAACTTCAGTAAATGTAGCCAAGCCCATCCAAAAGCCTACAACAACAATGACAACAGTTCAGGAACAACAACATTTCAACAAAAACAACAACATTTCGGTGTCGGCATGTACATTTTGCTGCCCAGACTTGTAAATTACCCACCAAAAGACAGAAGACGGGAAAAGTAGAGGGAGTTGAAGCAATCTGAAGAGCTAAACCGAAAATTGAGATTACAAGCTGAAAGCAGCTAAAATAACAAAAACAACACAAAAAAGAACCCTTGTTGTTCTTTGATTTGCTTGTTTTATTCCGCTCTAATGAAAAAGTTGTCGGCCGGAGGGAGTAGAAAACAAAATAATCATACATTCAGATACAAGATCCACACAACATTGGATGAAGAAAAAAAAAAAAGTAAAATAAATAGAAACTAAAAGGTTCCGAATAAAGAGTCCTAAAATGGTTAGTAGGAACTTTAGATATGGTATGTTAGAATTATCAAGATAGGATCGTTTGAAAATGAATGTTTTTAAAAACATGTGTGCTATTCATTTTGTGACAATTGTAAGATACTATTTAATAAAAATACATTTTGGTAATTAAATATCTGGGTTGATAGGTTTTAATGTAACCTAAGAACTGTAAAGTTGTAAGTACCTGATGCGGATAGATAAAATGTGATATTAAATATGTTACTAAACAGGGTTCCAGTTCCTGGAACTATGAATCAGACCACTGTTTTTTTTTGTAGGGCATTGAAAAGTGCAACAACAAGACCAATCCAACTGAAAAACAAGAACACTACAAAAATAACAACAAAAACAGACCCATGGCAAAACGTATTGTACACATAAAGCCCTCGATCACGTTTTACGATTCCGGCCACGATTACAGAAAAGCAGAAAGAGACGGGAACAAGGAGTAGGAGAGAGAGATAGAGTTACGCGTGGTCCATGTTCATGTTCTTGTCATGTGTGTGTGGTGGTGTGTCTTTTTTTTCTATTTTTTTAGTAACTCCATTTGTCCAACTGCCCCCGCAGGCTTCTTCCCTGACCCCTCTCTTGGGACTAGCCCCCTTTCCACTATTTTCCCGCCGTCTA